CCATGCTGCTAAGGCGATCCGAGACTTCTATCGACTTCATCCGGGTGCTCCGCGTCAACTCCGCCTCACGGATTTCCAAACCCTACCGTTCCGACCTATGCCCGAGCCGCTGACCGAGCCCAATGCTCACCAATCGGGACGATTGGTTTTAGAGGGGGGGTGATGTTACGGTTCTCCGCTCTCGTACCTTCAGTTCCGAGGGTTCCGCACCCTTCCGTACCGGAACTCGGGACTTCCGTCCCTCGGGGGCGCTGTCTATGGACTATATGCGTGCTGACTCTTGCCACTACCCTTCCTTACTTCATCATTCCATTCCTTTGACCACCCCTTCATTCTTTGTATCATTCTATGGTCTCTTACCCTTTGTCCATCCCTTCATTCTTTGTACCTTTATCTTTGACATTCCTTTCTTTCATTCTTCGTGGCTCATCATTCTTAGTGGCTCATACTCCCTGAGTGCTCTTGTGTAGTTTAGTATATATAGGCGTACGAGATCAGACTGGTCCTGTAGTCTTGATCTCGTCTACTCCAGGTAGTCCTGTACTCTTAGGCTCACTCTATATACTCTACTCTTGTCTCACTCTCTCTCTCCGCCCGTTCCGCGAGTTCCGACTACGTTCCGGTGCTCGCGTCCCGTATTTCTGTTGTGTAGGATAGTTGTAGCCTGGGTCCCCTCGCTGAGCCTTCGGGTCCCCTCTACGCTGTCGCTGACACTACCACCCTTCCTTACTTTATCATTCCATTCCTTTGACCACCCCTTCATTCTTTGTTCATTCTATAGTCTCTTACCCTTTGTCCATCCTTTTATTCTTTGTACCTTTATCTTTGACCTTCCTTTCTTTCATTCTTTGTGGCTCATCATTCTTAGTGGCTCATGCTCCCTAAGTGCTCTTGTGTAGTTTAGTATATATAGGTGTACAAGATCAGACTGGTCCTGTAGTCTTAATCTTGTCTACTCTAGGTAGTCCTGTACTCTTAGGCTCACTCTATATACTCTACTCTTGTCTCACTCTCTCTCTCTACCTGTTCTGCAAGTTCTGACTATGTTCCAGTACTTGCATTCTGTATTTCTGTTGTGTAGGATAGTTGTAGCCTGGGTCCCCTCACTGAGCCTTCAGGTCCCCTCTACACTGTCACTGACACTTATATTGTATGTATTCTAACTGAGACATTATGAAGTCATTGTCTTGTGGTTTGTCTGTTAATGAACTAATCATCTCATAATACATTCATGTACCCAGCTGTTTCTGTACAAGGTCCATCTGGTACATGAGATCAAGCTACAAATGTAGGTCTTTTGACTTGTGTTCTACACAAGTATTAACACAGGACCAGTACTAACATGGCACGTGCTATATCCGTCTAAGGCGCATCCGACCAACGGAAATGGACACTCAGTCAGAATTGCCTTGATGCAGTGGATGGGCGTTTGTCATGCCTGGAATCATTTATCGAGGAAATGAACAAGCTGGCAGTGCCGCAGTGATAGATTTGATGCGACCGGCAACGCGATTGCTATTCTTAACTTTTAATCCTGCTGCGGTTCTGTGGTGCAGCGGCTATTAATAATTCACCCTACAATGGATGAAAACATTTGTCCAACTTGTCCTTGGGGCGCGTCTACTCAATTTCAACTCAATAGACATTCAAATGCCCCAAACATGGTGAATCCTCTACTCTACAACACGTGATTCATAAAATAAACATCAGTAGATCTCAAAAACAATTCCACTACAGTACGAACCACCATGTTGACTTCGGCTAGAGACCAGAAGTAAGCATTGACGCCGAGTCTTCACACCGATTCGGATTACAATGCTCTAATTCACATCTCTCGAATTCCCGACTTCGGATGGCGGTGACTTGAACAGACTCGCGTATCACTCTCCTCACTCAGCCCCATCAATCTGATTGTAGTGAGCCTGACGACGCTCATGTGCTGGAAATCATGACTACAGTCTACCAGGTGCAAATCTCCGTCGAATCGGAACATTCTGACAGAGGTCATGCAGAGCAATACGATCAACGCGCGCCCCTGCTGATGCGCTTCGTGAGGTGTTGGGTCGATTTCGCTGGTATATAAGAGCGCAGCTTTATCTTCATCAATCCCCATCCTCCTACAACAGAATAGCACAAGAGAAAACATGGCATCTACCAACTCTTTCGAACGCCCCGATTACACTCCCGTCCGTCGCGTCATAACCGGTCATTCGCCTGAGGGCAAGTCCGTCATTGTCGACGACTCGACTGTTGAATCTTACCCGTTCCGCGGTCGTGGACCATCGTTATTTGGTGATCTCTATTGGACGGACGACGCAAAGCCGACGAACGAAGTCGAATTTAAGGATCTCATTAAAGCCCATCGTGAAGACCTCTTCGGAGCCGACGGAAATTGTCTTCGAGTCGTTGACATTCCTCCTGGTCAGAAATCCGTATGTCATTTTCAATCTTGACTTTGAAATAAACAATCCGATCTAAAAATATCGGCGTTCTTGGCTTCTTGGCTTCTTGGCCTGCCTGAACGCGTATAGCCATACCACCGTACCATCTCACTCGACTACGGCATAATGACCCACGGCACGCTCACGCTGATCCTGGATGACGACAAGCGTGTTACCTTTAATCCGGGCGACGTTTTCATCCAGCGCGGAACGATCCACTCCTGGCTCAACGAGGGCAAAGACTGGGTGCGCTTTTACTGTGTTTGCATACGTAAGTATACTTCTTTTGAGTTAAGATAGCTTTCGTGATGGGATTGACATATGATATTTAGCGTCGCAGAAGGTCAAGATTGGAGATAAGGAGTTAGAGCCTGAGTTTCGGGTATAAGGAATATTCGATGGATTACGAATTGTAAAGCTGTACTCATTATGCAAGTATGACGAAGATTGTATTATCTTAGTCTCGTACTATACAAGGTTGCTCTAGACATGTTTTTAAATCTGTTTGCGCAAGGCAAATGAGAACTATCTTGGAAACGCTCCTTTGCATCATGCATTCGGTCATGTGCTGTCCAAAGACTGCCTGGGGACGCGTAAGCCTTCAGGCATCCATCTACATGGGCTGACGCGTACATTCCATATAAATCGAAGAGGCATCTTCAAAAACGAAAGTAAAAGCCGACCCGACTCCGCTGAAGGTCCTGCCCCTTAAAACACAATAAGAACAGAATCTGACTAGATGTCATCTCAAGCTACCTCTGAACACTCTGGCCATCCTCCAGTCCGACGCGTCGTAACAGGGCACACACCCGAAGGGAAGTCAATCGTAGTCGAAGATGCACAAATCGAGTCCCACCCGTTTCCCGGCTCGAGTGCACTTTTTACTAATCTCTATTGGACGGAAACCTCACCTCCATCGAACGACGTAGCCTTCAGAGATCTTGCGAAGGAACATGCTAAAGAACTATTTCCATCCGAAGGAAGTACGTTCCTCGTAGTTGAAGTGCCTCCTGGAAAAGGATCAGTCAGCTTCTTTCTTTCTCTTGCAAATGCTATGAGTGTTGAGCTAACGAGCTTACATTTCATTCGTCTTGTAGAAACTCCACCGCACTGTCTCACTCGATTACGGTGTCCTAACACACGGTCAAATCACACTGATTCTAGAGGACGACAAACGCGTCATCTTGAATCCAGGGGACGTAGTCGTCCAGAGGGGAACATTGCATGCCTTTGTCAATGAGGGTACTGAATGGTCTCGCATGTACTTTGTTGCTATGCGTTCGTATTTCCTTCCTTCCAGTATGATGAAGACCTCTGATGGTGCGCTGATACTATAGCTGCTCAGAAAGTCAGGATTGGAGATAAAGAGCTAGATGGAGAGTCCCGTGGATGAGAAATTGCTGAAAATGAATATGAAGTTTTTTTTAATATCGTGAATGAGTTGAATGTTGAGCATCCATGAAGAATAAAATAATACTTCCTAACCTGTTAAGTCTATAGAACTTTTAAATTATGTTCTTGAGGAATGGAAGTGGGTGGAGCGGCTAAGTAGCTCATCAAAAGCTCGCCAACGATTCGGTTGCGTTGAATATAAGTCCAAGACTAACGCCTGCACATTCAAGTTGCACAATGAAGAATATGCGATGCTCATGATTACACGTGACAGAAATTACCAATACTCTGACACATGAGGCATTTCACAATTTCTTACTCTAAAAAATAACTTACATAATGTAAAACATTATTTGAAATTTATCTTACCATTTTTGACTAGCAAAAATTATAAACAAAATTTGTAATTTTCTTTATACAAAAACTAGAAATTATTGTTAACATTTCTTCATTTGTGAAATCTTAAAATAAATAGAAATAATAATCTAAAACATAATTTCAAAACAAAATTAGAAATTTTCTTTTAAATTTTTTCATTACTAGTACAGAGGAATAACAAAAAATTCAAAAGAAAATTTC